TTGGCCCGCCCGCCACGTCCAGGCCGGGCCGGGGCTGGGGAGAAGGGTTTCGGGGCCTTTCCCGCTGGGGAAGGGGTTCGGGGAGGGACTTGGCGGCCTCAGGGGTATTGTGGCCTCATTGCTCTCACTGCTTTGCTGCTCCCAGGTCTTCAAGCGCTTCGTCGAGATCGGCAGAGTCGCCTTCATCTCCTTCGGGCCCCACGCTGGGAAGCTGGTGGCCATCGTGGATGTTATTGACCAGAACAGGGTGAGCTGCGAGCGCTGTGCCTCAGTTCTCCCCTTCCTGCCTCGGGAGAGGCTGCTCTGCTGAGGGGGCATCCGTTTGAAAGGAAGGGCTTTGTTAATAGATTCTTTCAAAGAAATAAGCAATTGACAAGATGATTGACAGCTGTTGCATTTTAAACTTTCAGTAGCAAGCTTTTTTTTCACTGGCAAGTGATAATGTTCCCCTCTGCTGTGTTTCCTAGGAGTAGAAGTGGACAAGTGATGTCAGTTGGAGACTTAAAATTTAGGAGCAGAATGGCATTAATGTATGTTTAAAAATATGTTTGGGCTAGGGGACTGTTTTTTTGTAGTATTCCTGAAGAATAAATGCAGTATATCATCTTAGTTCTGCATGCTTTTTAGCTATTTTTTTCCCCCAAGGATGACAGTGGGACTTTTAAAATCCTTTCTGTAAAGCTTAGGTTGTTTATACGTGACTTAACAATCTCAGGTTATGTCTGCATAATGTTTTGTTTCAATTTTGGGCCACTGTTGTCAATATGCTGTTCATACATTGTTAGGAAGCTGCTGGCTAAATCAAATATGCAAATACGGAATATTGCACCCAGTTTTGGGCACCTCAATTCAAGAGAGATATCGAGGTGCTGGAGCGAGTACAGAGGAGGGCAATGAAGCTGGTGAAGGGCCTAGAGAATAAATATTATGAAGAACACTTGAAGGAGCTGGAAATGTTTAATTTGAGGAAGAGGAGGCTGAAGGGAGGCTTCATCACCCTCTACAACTACCTGAAATCTCATTGTAGAGAGGTTGGTGCTGGCCTCTTCTCACAGGTAATTAGCGACAGAACAAGAGGGAATGGCTTCAAGCTGCAACAGGGCAGGCTTAGACTGGATATTAGGAAAAATTTTCACAGTAAGAGTGGTCAGACCCTGGAATAGGCTGCCCAGGGAGGCGGTTGAGTCACCACCCCAGGGTGTGTTTAAGGGTTGTTTGGATGTGGTGTTGGTGGATATGGTTTAGGGGGGAACTTTGTAGAGTAGGGATGATGGTTGGACACAGTGATCCCAAGGGGCTTTTCCAACCGGAATGATTCTATGATTCTATGAAATAGTAATGGGAAAACTGCTACAAAATGCCCACATTGTTTTCTTTTTTCAGGCACTGGTTGATGGCCCCTGCAGCGGTGTCAGAAGGCAGGCTATGCCCTTCAAGTGCATGCAGCTAACTGACTTTGTCCTCAAGTTCCCACACAGGTGAGTTGTTGGCTGGTTTTACCTGTGTGAAAATAGGCTTCCACTTGGTGACTTGATGTTGATCTGATGCTTGCTGAATATAAAGTTCATACAATATCAAGTCAGTAAATTAACATGTATGCACAGTAAAAGCTTGGCTGACCCTGTTAACATAGTTGAATATGTTTTAAGTTTTCATTACCATTACTGGCTGGCTATAGACTGGCTGAGGCAACTTGCAGAGAGTTGTGGAGTGGATGGTGTGGGGGAAGCAGTTGCAGTAAATTCTGTGCAGCCTTGCTTTTGCTACTGATGAGGTCTCCTTCAGACATGAAATATCTGCTCTGCCTGCACCGGAATTGTAGGAGGCTGAACTCACTCTGTTCTCTTTAGCTTAGTATCTGAGTTCTGGTAATTTAGAGACGAGAGTTAATGCCTTTCTGGTTCTGAGGCAGTGCTAGGAATAGCATGTGAATATGTCTCTTGGGTCACTCAAGTGTTTTGTCCTAGGAAACCATTTGCAAACAAAATGTTAATTTGGCCACAGATGTTTGTGGCATTGACTTTATGTAAGTGCATGAAGTAATGTAGAAAGATAATAATCCCTTGTTTGAAATCTGATGGGCCAGCATCAGAGAGAACCTTTTTTTGTAAGGACTGTGACTGTATTTTGGTGACTCTTCTAATGCAGTGCTCGTCAGAAGTGTGTGCGACTTGCCTGGGAGAAGGAAAATATCAATGAAAAATGGGCAGCAACAAGATGGGCAAAGAAGATTGAAGCCCGAGAAAAGGTGCAGTTTTTCACTGGATAAATAATACACGTTGTATTGCTTCTGCCTACTAAAATGAGGTGAAATCTAATAAGCTGGGTATTTTCAGTTGCAGATTAAAGAAAGGGCATAGATTTTTAAAGTTACTTTCTATCAGCTTCAACTTACTATATATATTTTAACAGCATGATTTTGTTCAGTCATCTCTATACCTTTTCCCTGTATCATCGCTTCCCAGCAAAGGCATTATATAGTGAACTAGTTCCAGATGTACAGCTAAACCTAGTTTGGAGATGACCAGAATTACTTGGTTGTGTATTGTGAAATGCTTTGAAATACTGAGTTTTGCTGCTTGCATATGTATTTACCAGAGCTTCATAATTGATTCTTTTCAAACAGAAAGCCAAAATGACCGACTTTGATCGCTACAAGGTTATGAAAGCAAAGAGAATGGTAAGTGAGTTTAGGTGGGTTTTTGGGGGGGTTGTGTGTGTGTGATTAATGCTTGTAGCTTTCACTTTCAGATCACACAAGAGTTGTTAGTAGCCTTACTTTTGTTTCTTGCTTGGGTTATGGAGTGACACAAAGTGTGTGAATGCCTTGAATTTTTCATGCTTCTTTGGCTGCCACTTCCTTTTCAGTAGTGGGTCAGACTGACAGACACGAGCTGTGTGTCAGCTCCCAACTTACAGCTGAGGAAGGAATTCCCTGCTGATGAACTCAGATACTCTTGGTAGGTTGCTGTTAGTATTTCATTCTGTAGCGAAAGTCATTATATGTGAAATACGGCATTACCAGCCAGAATGGTTATGGTCCACTTGGTAGACCAGAACAGTTTTAGGTGGAATTTTGCAATTCAGATGTAGTACATGGTAAGTCTTTTGACTGTGTAGTATAAATATAATAGGTTAGCAAAGGGTGATTATCAAAAAGGGTGGAATCTGAAAGCTTAGAATTGAAATTAAGGCGTAATATTTGAGCAGTTCCTGGTTTCGTTCTGATGAGTGGTGAACATTTTCCTTTTTTACAGAGAAACAGGATCATCAAGCATGAAATGAAGAAGCTCCAGAAGTTGGCTTCCAAGAAAGGCAAGAAGCCGGAGAAGTCAGAGAAGCCGGAGAAGTCTGAGAAGCCTGAGAAGCCAAAGTCAGAGAAGCGAGAGAAGGCGCCAAAGGCAGAGAAGGCGCCGAAGGCACAGAAGGCACAGAAATAAAATGAACTTCTGGTCGTGTATGACTTTGTGTCCTTGTTCTGATTCTTCAATGAATGGTTAAACATCTGATTCAAATTCTAATCCTGAGTTTTTCATTTTTGCTTCTGACCAAGAATTGTCTGTCTTGTTTATTATGATGTCCAAGTGTTGGGTTGTAGCGTTTCCCTGGAACACGCAGAAGTGTTTTTGTCATGTTCTGGGAGGTTGACCGTGCAGACTGCTGGGTACTCTGTACCCAATGCCAGCTGAAGTATCTGCACACCCAGTTATTTCAAGTAGGGAGGGTCCTGACTTTTAAAAAAATATTTAAGTGGTTGGGAATGAGCAAAATTACTTGAGCAGTCTTGGCTGTGAAAGATGAGAAAGAATCAATTGCACCACTTTTCTGTATAACTTACGGCACAAACTGGGAGTATGTATTCTGGTTAGAAAAGTATGTCAGAGTTTGAGAAGCTAATTTAAATCAAAAGCTTTAAATTACTGCATATTCTCTAAAAAACTTCCAGTATTCTTTTAAGTAGTGACCTGGAATATTTCCAGTGTCTTAACACCACTGTTGTCCTGCAAGTGCAGTTACAGTAATGAGTGATATATTAACAAGATGGGAATGTTTGACTTTGCTTCTTGGAATTTTTAAAGGTAACAGTTTGTCAAGACTTTTAACAAGTTCCTTAACCTATGCAGCATATAATTCTCACTTCTTGATCAAAACCGTTAAGTAAAAGGGGACATGGCCTAAAAGTTGCTTGATCTGTCTGAAACTGAAGTCCTCAGTTTAGTCTTTCCAATATAAGATGTTTACCTGCATCTGAATGTCAACATCCAGCTTTTCCTGTGTTTTCTGCAGTGTAGTTTGTTGGAAGGGGGGATTTTTTCTTCATATTGAATGAAGAAATTGTAGAAGTTTGAGATCTCTTGTAATTGAAAAGCAAATTATTTTTAGTCAAAAACAAAATGGAGGAGGGAGAACAGGTATTTTTTTAAATGAAGGATGGAAGACCTTTAAAGTTATTATCAAGTATATATTGAAGTATATTGTTCAATGCACTGATAAGCATGTGCTTTAAAGTAGTTACTTGGCTAGTGGTGCTTGTTTCAGCTGGAATTGGGCATCTGAATGCTCAGACACTTAAAACTACAGTGTTTTGAGCTGTTTATATGCCTGTGGAAATTGAGTTAAAGCATGTGGTAGATACAAAATTAATGTAACTTGGGGGAAAAAAAATCAGAAATTATGCAAATTTGGATTAAAATCCATGTTCCAAGTACGGGTAGATGTGGATTTAAAATTGGATTTCAAAGTGGTTAAATCCACCTACTCTGTTTCTAACTTGAAAGTAACTTAAAAGATACATCAACCTGGAAGTCCTTTAAGGTGACAGTTGTTCTTCAGGGTTCTTTTCTGCCTTTTATGTGCTACTGTTAAGATGAATTATATAAGAAAGGGAAAAAGTTGGTAAAGGTGCCTGTAGAGAAAATAGACGTGCCTTCAATCTTACTGACCTCACAAATGCTTTTTCTACATTTGCTCATTTTTAAAGGTATTTGCTTCCAAGGTATAACTTTGTCTATGACAGCAGCAATTGGTCCAGTGTTTTCATTCCCACCCATGTACCCTCGGCATCTACCGAGCTTATTTGAGAGGTTTTGGTGATACAAAGTGAGCTGTAGCCTGACGAGCTGCTCAGCAGCTGTCATTTTCCTGAACGGGATCCTGGAGGGAGGGCTGCCTGCTTCTGCAGGTGTCTGCCCCAGCCCTGCACCGTGGAAAGGGGTGTGCTGGGGGACAGGGACACTAAAGATACAGGCAGTGTTGGCACTGGAGAGCCTCATGTGCCTTAAAAGAAATAGTCGGTTCTGTAGTGGCATGTGTGACATCAAGGGCTCCTGTGAAAATACCGTTTGTTGACAGTCGGGAGCATCTGACAGCACGTTCCACGTGAGCAGCGTTTGGAGCTCCTTTTAGCAGCTCCTGAAGCCTCTCTGAAGCCTTCTGCAGCTCTGTGTTGTTGGCAGTCCACTTCCCTTTCAATCCATGAGTGCCGTGCCAGCTGTGCTGGTTTGTCCTTGTTTTAAAGGTCTGGGGACACAGAAAAGTACGGAGGTGCAGTTCTGTGTCTGCAGGTGGCCACACGATGGCAACACGAGCTCTTCACGAGGTTGTTCCTGAGGCTTGACCCAGGCTGGGCTGCTGAGCTGCCTTTCCTTGATGGGGACAGCGCCAAACAAAGGGGGTGGCACAAACACTTGAGAGCAACCGACGTGCTTTTCCAACTCTTTATTTTGCCTTTTGTATCTAAGATGTACTTTGCTGGACTAAGAATATATTTCTTTACTTTGTGAAGCTGAGTGTGAAGAAATAGGATCTGCTGTTTAGAAAAAGCTTAAAATGAAGCCCTGGTGTTTATTTTCTCAGTTTTTTTCACACAGAACATGTAGGGGAATGTATCCTATCCCAGTTTACTCCTGAGATCAGAAGATAATTGCTGTGCTTCCTAAATTGATGCCAAGAGTTGGCAAACTCAGTCCTCATCTCTGTGCTGCAAAGTCTGGGAGACATGGGCATCTACAAGAGTAGGACTGGACCCTTGGGCATTATTTTTTGTAAAAAGCTGTAAAATCTACTGTTTCTATAGGCCAGCTGTAGTTCTGGGCTGTGTGGTTTGCTGATGATGCATATTTCATTTTCTTCTTAGATAAAGGCTGTATTTAAGTGTTTTGGCTCTTGGATAACCATGTCTGTTGCTGTGTTTGGCATCTGAACGTGTTTCAGGTCTTTTGGGCTTTTTTTGAGATGTAATAGACCTAAAAGAAATCTCTGGATTGACTAGTATTCAAACTAGTCCTTCAGTCAAGGTTTGCTTGGTGGCCATGACATTTTCAAATAATTTGATCCTATAGTTACCAATATATTAATAGTAGGTAATACTGTCTCTTCTCAACTGCTTCTGCACCACTGCAGTTGGGCATAGACTCGTGGCAAATCTGGTCCAGTTTACAGCTGGATTCCCTCTGTTATTTTGTCTTTTTTTAACTTGCAGTGCCCTTTAAAGGTTTCCGGCCCTGTATGTTTCTCTCCTTTCCCCCTGCCTGTGTTGATAAGGTGTCTCTGAAAACTCCACCTGCCTGCCTTTCATCGGGATGAAAAGGTGCTAATTTCTATTCACAGCATTATTGGCATCTGAGTGAGTGCAGCTTACAAGTAAGAAGTGGAAAGTGGAGCAAACTGTGGGGATGGCTGTGTGATTTCAGGTCTTCAGCTTTTGATTCTTCCTTTCTACAATTTGGTGGGGGAGTTTTGTGTTTTGGTTTGTTTTTTTTTGTTTGTTTGTTTCTTTGTTAACTTTGGAAATAGTTTTTAGTGGTTTGATCTTGAAGTTGCATATACTGTTGTCACACTGAGGTACTTCTGAGCTGAAATTTCCTTCTCTGAAGCAGAAAGATCTGCTTTTACCTCTTTTGTTGGGTTTTTTTAAGCACTGCATCCCTCGTTGTGCTGAAGTACTGCAGTCCATGTCCATGCCTTGATGCAGCCAGTGGCCCTGTGGATGCTGATTGCCTACCCAGACCCTTCTCCTTTTCCCTGAACTCACAATGGGCTTCATTCTTGGATGCTGTGCAACCTACAGTCCACAGTATCCTGAAGTGGGAATTTAGCCCATCCAAATTTTTGTGCAGCTGACTCCTGTATCATATTCTTGTTTTAAACAAATGAAGAGTCTGTAACTTTTTCCCTCACCTCACTTGTCAGTGATCAGAAGCCAGCCCCAGTGGTAGCAAACTCTCCCCCTTGCCCCCAAAAAAACTTTCAGGCCACCATGTGCATCTGAGTTAGAGAAATCTTCCACCTGCAGTCAGGTCTTTGTGTCAATCACCAGCCTAAAAATGGTTCCGTTGCCACCAGCACAGAGCAGATAGTTCCTCCTCCATGTGATGTGTCGACCTAGTTCTTATTATAGAGGAAATGCTTTTTCCCCCGTGGTCTCCTGATATGGGGATGTTTTTCAGGATATTTTGTTCTGTAATTGGGAGCATCACTCCTTGCATATTGTGAGGGGAAGCCCTGACCTGCTCACCATGGCTCTTCCCTTGTACCCATTCACTTTGGACTGGTGGTGCTTCAGGACACTGTGCCACTCATAAAGGTTTTTATGGCAGGAGCTCATCAGGAAGCTCTGCTTTGATGAAGTGAATAGATGCTTTGAAAAAGTAATAGTGTTCATATTTAAATAGCATGAAAGGATATCTTTGAGATCAGCTGCAGTTTACCTAAGGACACACAGTGGGAGGGCACAACATCTGAATATTTCTTTTACAATAATTCGACCTTCTAGAGTCACTCTTTTAACCTCATATGGACAAAAGCCATCAGACAAAAGAAGGGGTCCTTGCTAGCTGTGTTGTTGCAGTCAGGTGCTGTATAAAGGTGATCTAAAGAAAGGATGGGAAATAGGCTTGTGGGCTTTTTTCTTCTTCCTTCTCTTTCTCCCTTAATCCCTGAATAACTTTAAAGGAGGTTGGTTTTGTGGTTTTTTTTAGCTTGTTTATCTTTTATTTCTACTGCTTTTTTTCATTAGCTTTGCACATGTGAGTCTTAGCTCACCCTGCAAATCTCTGTGGATAATGGAAAAAAATCAGAGTGCTTATGGCATAATGAAGTAAATTAAGTCTGACCAGCTGAAAGTAGCATCATTTTTTGTTCTGGTTGCTCAAAGCATTTTTCAAGGTCCAGGGGGAGACTGGCAAGGTGCTGCTGTTGGGGATGCATGCAGGTCCTCACCCCAGGTGTGAGCAGGCTGCCTCAGCTCCCAGCCACCTGAGCGTGTCCTTGGAAGGAAAGACGTTAGTGCACTGGAGGTGCCTGGCCTCTGCTGCTGGTGCCACAGTTCTCCTTGGGTGGGTGGCAGGGCACCATGGATAGAGAGCAGATCTGGAGGTTGGTGTGCTCCTCCAGCCCATAGCTTCCCAAGAATTGGAGCACAGTCCATTCCGTAGCGCAGTGATATAGTCCTCTGGCTCCCTTAGCTCTTCCCTGTCCCTCCTCCTCCCAGGGTGGTTTTGGATTGCTCTTCAGAAG